CACACACACACACATACATACATACATACATACATACATACATACATACATACATACATACATACATACATACATACATACATACATTCATACATACATACATACATACATACATACATACATACATACATACATACATACATACATACATACATACAAAGACCTCAAGAGTTTCATTCACCCTGAGTACATAGTACATGTAATAGTGTTTGTTTTCCTAACTTAGTGAGCCTTTGGTGTGAATTGGATTTACTAATATTAATATACCTAATAATTACACACACACAAAAATATTTTTGTTAAAATCGATATTCCTTCCAATAGGAAGTAACACTCACGAGCAATTAAAAAAAAACCCAAAAAGCCAGAAAATAACAAATAAAATAAAATAAAAAGGACGAATAAACTCACCTCGACTGAGAAAAACGCCTCCACTCATTAAGAATCGCCGCAATCAATCAACCAACGTGATGAGAGTTGATCTGTTGCTTGCTTACTTACTGCTCTTGCATCCGGACATGTTACAGGGATTTTATCAGTCCATAATATTCCTTTGCCATCATAGCCAGCCTTTCGTTATCGATGTATCCCAATGGAGAGAGACTGGTCAACGATTATGTAATCTTCCACAGAATTAGGGGAAAGACTGACGGTGCACATATAATGCTGTCCACGTCGTTTTATGCAAGAAAAATTCGGAAATTATGCAAACTGAGCCCAAAAATGTGAAATTATGTGATTCTGTTAATTTTCATAAAGAATGATAAAGGAAAATAATCAGAAATTATGCTTTAAAAAATCATCAAATTTTGCTAAATTATGCAGGGTGCATAAAACCCCGAGGACAGATAAAGTACTGGGTGACGATTAAAAGGGGTTCAGTTTAGTTTTGGTAAGCGGGTGGTTGGTGGAGGGCGCCATTGGTAGGTCCCACTTTTTCAGTTTCCCTTTGTTGTTTCCGTCTGTCTGTCCTACACTACTTACCCCCAGCACTAAATGACCATTATTATGTCAATGTGCTTCTCTTTACTCAAAGCGCAGAGTTTTAGTCAGAGTTTTACGGCACTTGCAACAGAAATAGGTCATATTATTATCATATGTGCCAAAGATAGACAATGACGATAGATGGTTGGTAGGACAGAAGGAGAAACCTACACCAAAGTGAGAGCACCCGCCTACCACCCACGACTGAAAGCGGGCCTAGAGGATGATAGCTGAGCCATCTGTAGAGCAGCCGCCTGTCCAAGACAATCTGTCCCCGTGGTTTTATACGCCCCGTATAATTTAGCAATTTTTTAATCAGTTTTTACATAATTTCTGATTATTTTCCTTCATCATTCTTTGTTAAAATTAAAAGAATCGCAAGATTTCACACTTTTCGGGCTCAGTTTGCATAATTTCAGAATTTTTCTTGCATAAAACGACGGGGACAGGACAATCACCTGTTCAACAAACGACAATTTTGCACCGCCCCTTCCCGTTTGTTTTAAAATACATGTACCAATTTTAATGACGTTGTTCGAGACGCCCACCAGTCTAGGACAAGAAAACCACTTTCTTCCTCGTAAACGGGTGGCTGTCTTGGACATTTAGACTGTTTAGTTTAGTTTTAGTAGAGGTTTTACGGCGCTCGCAACTGCATACGGTCATATGAGCGCCAGAAGATTAGAGGTGTTACAAGAGAG